AAAAGCTATTGATTGAAACTCTGGTTTCTGTCATTACATCTCATATAAATATCAATAACAAAAACTTCTGAGTGATCAAATAAAAAACTAAAGCTCTTAATCCAACATTAACACAAAAATCTTATATGATTGTTACAGAAAATGATTATTCAAAATGTGCATCCCATTAATAGATATAAATAAAAGGCTACCGAAAGGTATAATAAGTGTTTGGTGTTTTCCGATTGTCTAATGGATTTTATTTTTAATCCAATGTTCAAGTACAATGAAACAATCTATACTTGTATGTAAAAATAGAAATGCTCACAATAGGATGAGATTGAGAACCTCTGAAGCTTTAATTCAACTTAATCTCAGTGAGAACAAGAACGAAAGACAATATTTGTATAAAGATTAATTCGTTTATCAAATGGTGAACATAAGGGAAAGTGCAAATATTATTGTAAAACAGGCTCAACTTATTATTATAATCCTTATTTTCTTTGCAACTGGTGCTTTAAATTTAATCAGGAGCTATTCAAAAAAATATAATCTGTTTAAGTTGAAATTTTTAAGGTAAAACTGTCTGGTTAAGGTGACTTTACTTTCAATCTAACCAAGTTCTGTGAAATTCATTTTACAAGTTGAGAATATTGAAGTTTAATGTCCATAGAAACTAATTCCCTACAGAAACATCTCATCTGAGCTAGTTGGTTGCAGTTTTTTTCAAAGTTTATTTCCAATCCTTCTTATCTAAAAATAAAAGTGGAATAAATATGTTGAATTCAATTTGTGTGGCTTGCTTTTTTTCTCATTTTGTTTGAATAATATCAATGCAAATTCTCAAACTTAAAATTTACTGCAGAAGTAATTTTAGAAAGAGATTTAAACTAGAACCATGTATAATTGGTTTTCATTTTTCCAAAGTTCATGGTTTTAAATTATATCAGAGAAAAAGATATGAAAAAAATTCCACAGGTCTTGAAATCTGTCTGACCCATTGACATTTGTTTCATTCTGATTGAATGATTCAGTCAGGTTTTAGCAATATTTCTGACCAAATGTGTGACAAAAACTATCCAAAACTGCCAATAAGTTGAACAACTATATAATTAGTTGGGCCTCCTTGAACCAGCTATTCTTATAGGATTCTGACTGACAGCAAGCCTACACAGACTAACTGGGAATTTCAATATATCTGAAATTGCATATTTTTTTTTGTCCTTTCATACAAAATGAAGTAGATGTCTAATGAGCCTAGTATCATTGGCTACTACTAATTTTCTCACATCTCCATATGTAATCATGTAGTAATTTCATTTGTCCAGGAAGTCCTTACATTTTGCTGATGTAATGTGAAACAAACAGACTTATAGAAGGCACAGAATTACCAGCCAGCATTAGCATTATACAATGCAATAAGAATTGTATACGTGTACTTTAGCTTTTAAATGTGTTATTGAGAAGGCCAGTAAATAGGATAGTGGGAAGATACCTACAGAAAACGGAATCTGATCCTACAGTTGTATAAAATAAACGATTCTTGTAAGAGTTTATAAGCCTTTTAAGATATATCTAATGCGAAAAAGATTCGGAAACCCTACTGTCTACTCTTCAAACCTCAATTCGTGTAATGGATTTTTGTCATTTTGAAATCTCAATAGTGTAGTTAACAAACATTTTTTTGCCATCAATTTCATGTTGAATCATCAAAGAAAACCAAAAAAATCAAGTCTATTTTAGTTTTTTTTTTCAATCTGAATCAATGCCAGGACATTTTGCAAAAGTAAAATAAGAACTCTAAAATGCCAAATACATATTTCATATAATATTTTTGCAGCTTGTAAAATCATGACAATACAAAGTTGTAAAACTTAAGATTAAGAAACCATTAACAAGGGAGTCTCCCTTTAAAATTGAAAATCACAGAAAATATTTTTTGCTTCTTGTCTACTTATTGCATGAGTACCGGTGAATATTCATCATGTTATATAATTATCCCTTGTAGAGTATACCCACCAGCTCTGAATATCTTTCATTACAAAAATATGTTTACTTTGAAAAATTTTTGCCAATATTCCTGCAAGCTGCTGCAACAAAGTATTCTACTCAGAACAATATCCATCATTGGATTTTGCTATAATAACCTTAATAAAACATGACCTAACTACAAGGTTAAAAGCAAGAGAATGCCTTCCAGACCAGTCTGATGTGAACAAAAAGTCCAATTCCTCAGAACTCAAACAAACACAACACCATAGAAACTTATGAGTTATTGGATCAGTCAAATGTCATCTATAATTTCATACTGGATGTCTCCATCGTTTATCTTTTCTGTCCAAGTGGCCTTTGGGTCAACTGAAGGCTTTACATATAATATATAAATGATGTCCAGCATTTATTAAAAGGATAATGCCATATAATTATGAGATAGCTTTCATAGAATCAGTTTTGATATAAATGGTTTTAGGTGGGACGTCTAGTTTCGATAGATCACTGTTTTCTCTTCAATGATTGTTCATATTCTCTGCTCTCATAAGAGGGCTTTAATTGATCCTACAGAGACAATCGATACTTAACTCTAATAAAAGGTGTCAGGACTGATCAAAATATTTGGACAATTGCCATGCATGCTGAATGAATTTCAACAGTTCAATCAATTCCAGTTTACACATGTAATAACTTCATTTCAAATCAGCCAAACTGCAACAATTAATAAAAAATTCATGCAAAGCTGTGTGAAGACAGGTTTATAAATATTAAACACTTGCTACTTGTTAGGAGCAAATTGGTTGCAAAGGCAAAAATCAAAGTAAGAACTGAAGTCCATTAATAGAATTTTATAATTTGTGTATATTACAGCTTGACGTAAACGGACACTTTTTCCAGAAAAAAATCACTGCAAAAAAGCAACATGATCCAAAAAAAGCATCACACAGGCAATTACTAACAACCAGATGTAGTGTTATTTAAGTACTTCCAGATGAGAGAACAAATTCTATTCTGTATAAAGGCGGTGCAGTACTTGTGCTGTGTGCCAGGCATTAATGATTAAATTACAAGTAAGCTGTTTCAGTTCACTGTTATCGTGTGAAAGAGGCCAGCAAGGTTTTAATGCATTCTTCAAATGCATATATCAAAAGTCTACAGTGGCAACATTTATGGCAACTAACAAATGTAGGCAAATGCTTTTTGCATTGTACCTAATTTTTAACTTTTATACTAGATTGATCTTCCTCTCCTTTACAAGTGATAACTGGTGTGAGGTCTTGGTTACACATATTTTTTTATGGACTACTTTACACATTATTTTATGACCAATTTTCTGCAAGTCATTGGAACTGACACTTTGAATGCTTTGTCTTAAAACTGACATTGACCCTATCCCCTTTATGTCACAAAAGAAACAAGTTTATTTAAGGCAAAAAAAAAATATGTGTCTGTTTCCTGCCTCCAATCATTATAAAATAGGGTCATTCGGTCATGATTTCATTTTTTCATTTCATTTCATTTTTGCATATTAACAAAATCCAGAATAATTTCATGTTTTCTCAGAGTTTGATTCTGTTTAATTTTACACTTATCCATCTGGTAGTTTGCGCATGGGTGTAGATATGCTTATAATTTGCAATAGTTTGACACAACCTTGAGTTTAAAAGACCATCAATAAACTCTTTATCAATGTTTTCCTAGGCAACACCGATGACGTAGGCTTATGACTTCATAGATACATTCTCTTTCTCCTCGACTGAGTAAACCCAAGTCAATTGAGTAGCGTGATATGTTTTTTTTTAAAACCAAATTTAAGGAAATAGTGACAAATGTCAGATTTATCAGAGCTTCAACACTGATATGGTCATACATTTCAATATATTTTTTTTTTCTTCAAATATTGACACAATAATTACTAAACAATTATCAGACTTAATTTTGTCAATGAAATAAATAAGTTAAGTTCTTTGCACAAGTGTAGTGTTTAATTCTATAAAACTAAAAATTTGTACTTCATATAATATTGGTAGCTAGAATATCACCAATTATATATATTTACTCTATTCCTCTTATAATAAATGGAAAATCAATACTGTATACAAATGGATGAATTAAGGACAACTTTGACAGAAGTTGTTTACAATGTATATATACTCCTTGAAATCTTTATCAAGAATTGAAAGCTTCTTTGTGTAGTTTTATTTAGGTGTTATAAAAAAACGTGAACGAAACATTGTATGAAACTCGGAATTAATAAAAATGATTATGTGCGTGTTCAATGCTTTTACAACCCTACGTAATTAAACTGCAGAAAAGGAGCATAACATTTTACTGCTAAAACCAGGAGATTGCAAGTCAAATCAACCGTTTTGTGTTTTTGTTTTAAATTTTGTTGTAACCTTGTCAAGGAGGTCATATACAGTCATGGATGTAGCATTTTATTATAAAACACCATATGCATGTGATTGTTGTCAGCCAGTCAAAATAATGCAATTCCTAATTATTCAAACATGTATAATGTATATGATAGTACTAAGCCGTAATGTATCGTATTGCTTAGTCAAGTACATTTCTAGTATACTGTATAACACAGATGATTCCAGCATGCAGGTTAAATTCAGTGGTTTTCTCCTGTAACATTTCGTATGTATACATCAATGTACATTTCTTTATTCATTTCACCGACCACAAGATGAAAAATTGAGGAAATTTTTCACTTATTCTTTAAACTGTAAGCTTAGGTTTAAACAAAGTAATCTACAATATTTAGTTTAGAATTTGCTCTGTCATGTGATTGTTGCATGTCAAAATGATCTCTTAGTGCTGCATTTACATGAAGTAATTTTTCCCTTTTTTCTTTTGAAATTATTTTGGCAACATTCAATGATTTGTTGTCGAAACAATTAAGATGTATATTTGCTTCCAAAATGGAAAAATAAATTGAAAAATATCAATTCACACTTTACCCAGCCATCAGAACCGTGTTCAGAGCTAAACAAAAAAATTCAAAAATAAAAGTAAATACTCACTCAGTCTCGTCATTATCAAAAACTATCTCATGTTCAACCAACTCAAAATCTTTTCCACATTTGGCAGATGCATCTATTGTGTGGTATGGAATCTTCACCATGCCTCTAGCACCAGATGATCTTTTGACTTTAACTTCCACTTCTCCAATTGCTTCTGGGACAGACATTTCTTTTTCATCAAAATGGAAGATTCCTGGGTGATCATCGTCTAAAATCATCACTGTTGCAACATGTGGGGTCCCAAGCTTAGCCTCATTGGTATTCTGTCCACTTTCAAACATTCCTTGGGAATCCCCTAATCTAAGATTACTCAAACGAACATAGAAGTGTTCATCTTCTTCAAAAAGCTCATCATCTATTATAGTTACTTCACATTGTTTGTGAGTTTCAAGTGGATAAAACACAATCGTTCCTTCTGAATGTTCATAGTCCGAACCAGCATTGGCTGTTCCATCTTCAGTTTTGAAGTCTACATAGAGTGTTTTGTTAAGATCCCCTCCAGTTCTAGACACAGTTAGAGCAAAAGACCCTACATTTTCCATCACTGTATAATGTCCAGGATCGAAGAACACCCTCGTGATATTGTCTTCTGCAATTTCCACCTTAACATCTTCTACACTGGCTCTTCTTTCAATTTTTGCTTTTTTAATGACATTGCCTCCACCAGTAAGTTTTCGTGTGGCCTGAATTCTATAAAAAGCTCGACTTTTTGGACCTCTATTAATAGCCTCTAATTCTGCCATTTCTTCCAGTTGTTTCATATCTGCATTAGGATGCTTTTTGCGAAGTTCTCTGATTATGTCCATATAATCTTTTCTATGCTGTTCAAATTCTTTGATTTCTTTCATATCGGACTCACTACCGTCCAAACCTTTGAAAACGATCTCGTCAACATTATTCATCTTTCCACCTTGCATCTCATGGCCGTCACCTTCACTACTAATCATAACAGGTTTATGTTTACCTGACCTATACCTCTTTGTTAGAAATCGGTAAGGGTATAATTTTTTGTCTGCAATATAAGCGGTCAAAACTGTTATTGGAAAAAATGCAAGTGTTAAAGTAGCTTCCCATATTTGTATGACTCCAGGTGAAGTCACTGCAAGAATAAAATACAACCATAAATAAGCAAATATACTCCATGTTGCTGTCAGGAGAAACACTCGTAAATGTTTTATCGTGCGGGACTCTCCATTTGGAACACAATACACACATATTGCAATTATAACAAACAAATTAAAAGCAGCACTACCTACAATTGTACTTGGCCCTAACTCTCCTGCCATAAAATTGTTTTTCAAACAAATTTCAATAACAGATAAAAGAATTTCTGGAGCTGAAGACCCCAAAGCCATTAAGGTAAGATTTGAAACTGTTTCATTCCAGACACGTACATTAACCGTAGTTGAAGTTCCATCAATACGTTTAATAACAATTTCTTTTTCTTTTGAAGTTATCACCTCAATAGCAGCCATAAAGCGATCAGCTACAATCGACACACCAAGAAACAAATAAATCATAGAAACAAAGTACACAATAGCCCTTGCAACCTGATCCCCTGGGCTGAGATTATGAATTGGTGACCAAGCTTTGAATAAAGTCCCATCCTGGCAAGGTGTAGAATTTCTGGAACATTCTTCTGTTGCGGCAGTTGAATTGGTAGCTATAGTTACTGGAAGATGTTCTATAATGCAGAATACTCCTAAAAGTATTGATGCCATTTTAGCTTCTTTGGTCATTTTTAAGTGGAGCCTCTTCATTATGATATTTTTTCTGTTCTGTTCTTACAATCTGCAACAATCTGTCATGTAGCTCCTGTAATGAAGAATTCAATACATTGAAAACACCGACATTTGTTAAAAATTAAAGGCTTAAAACAAGAATACATCTATTAAACACCCTATTTATTGAAGAAACACTTCTCCCACGAATGTTTACTAGATTTTATGTCTTATGAAGAAGTCAATACAATAGTTGACTCTTACAATAACCTACATTTATTTCACTGTTTTATGTTGACCATTCAGCTATATAAATAATGGTGTACCTTTAAATGTGGTAAGCTGATCCTTATTTGGATCTTTGTATAAAATACTTATGTATTTAACCCAATATAAATACATCACAAATCTAATATCTATCTGATGGGTATAGCCTTTAATGATTTTTGTCTGCCTTCTATTTTTTTGTTATTGATTAGCTTTAGTGATAAGGCGAAGACCACCAACCAGCACCATTATGTTGTAGCACCCATGAACTATATCTTATCAAGATCAATTTAAATGGTTTACTATTTAAATGATCTTTATCATTGTGTTGATATATACATTGTATGACTTATATGCAGTTTATGACATCACAAAAAAGTATGACGTGATTCAGAAGATAAAGACATAGGTGCAATATTGTGTACTTTCATTGTATGACAAAAGAATAGAATTTACAAGGATGTGTTTTTCACAAGTCTGAAGTATTTATGTTTTCATATGCAAATTTAGCTGAGGAAATATTTCAATTTACCTCCTTTTAATTTTAACCCCTACAAGTCCTATCCTGAACAATTTACAGCAATTTTCAAAGAATCATTGTAAAAATGATGATCTCTTACAATTAAAATACACTTGGTAAAATGATTTGCAAAGAGATAATGTAATATGAAAATAAAAATGCATTGCCAATTCAAGGTAAGAGGAGAATTTGTGCAAATGCTTAAATTCTATATTTCAACATTAATTATTATCTCATACATTATTCAATCAAGCATTTAGAATTTTGTGTACATGAAACGCCCTAGTGTATTTTTTCTTTACACTGGTACATGTATGTTTTTCTGATGGAATTCTTGGACTTCCGAGTATTTCATCTGTAAGGAAAGAGAACATTGTCTGAAAAGATTCCTGGCTGCAGTATGGATGTATTTTTTCCAAATGCATTTGCAGTTATCGTCAAAAATTTAACACTGAATTAATTACTTTTCTTAATGTCAATTTAAAAATAAAATAATTGGTAAAATAACTGTAATGTGAAGCAGAATAAGAAATTATCAATCACATAGTACTTAGAAAAAGCTTATTTAGGTCAGAGCTACTTTAAAAAAATTTTAAATTAGTGCATGTAGTCCAAACCATTATATAAAATTCATGTAATTTTGTAAATTTTACCTTCAGGGTCTACAGTATTAACATATTTGTTAATCAATTACAACGTTTAGAGAGCAAAGCTACATACAAGCATAGACTTTTTACAAGTCCCATTCCTTATAAAAAAGAAGATATGGTATGATTGCCAATGAAACAACTCTCCACAAGGGACCAAATGACACAGAAATCAGCAACTATAGGTCACCGAACGGCCTTCAACAATGAGCAAAGCCCATACTGCACAGTCAGCTATAAAAGGACCCGAAATGTCAATGTAATTCAATTCAAATGAGAAAACTAACTGCCTAATTTATGTACAAAAAATGAACGAAAAACAAATATGTTACACATAAACAAACGACAACCACTGAATTACAGGCTTGTAACTTGGGACAGGCACATACATGTACATACAGAATGTTAGCGGGGTCCCAACCCTCCCCCTAACCTGGGACAGTGGTGTAACAGTACAACATAAGAACGAACTATAAAAATCAGTTGAAAGAGGCTTGTTAGGTTGTTTTGCCAGGGGACCAATTTTTTGAAAATTCTGTATCTGCATCTGGGAGGTCCCCAGACTATGCAGGCCTGGCTACACCATACATTTTCTTACAATGTAGGAACAGATTTTCCGTGATTTTACTATTTCTTGGCTCTTATGATACAATGAACAGCCTTCTTTCCAGAAAAAAATAACTACTTTTAAACAATGTTTTATAAATATGTCTACACACTTGCAGAAATACATGTATGCCAGACCAGTCCAACAATTATGCTATTGGGCAGAAAAATGTTGACCACTCACTGGTCCAAATGTCAGGTTAACTCTTAACAGAAGTGTTTGATATCATTTGATATATTTAAGAGCCAAAATGGAATCAAAACACGTCTAAATACCTTTTTGTCACCATTATTGTATCCAGTAACATTTTCAGTTAAAACTCACGGTTAATACTACATGTATCAAAAACACCAAAAATTCTTTGAAAACAGATTTTCCCACAAAATTTTCAGTCTGACTGAAATTTTGGTCAGCAACTATAAATCTTTGCAGTTTGTTTCACCAATCTGGCAATCCATTTAAAAATTTTGGAAAGTGATAAAGTCTGATACATTGATATTATATACATGTACATGATCATGTATATATAGCTGTAGATATCTTTGAGATCAAATTAACTTTTTTGATGGTAAATCAATATTGAAGAAATATACATGTATGTGTAGTGTAAGACTTTACTTAAAGTGGATAAATTTATCCAAAGTCTGCCCTTTTTTGTTCATGCATGCAAAATACATTTTTGAAAATGAGGTGTTTTTGTTTGTGAAAAGTTATTGGGTTTTTTAGTCACTTGATCAACAATTACACTAGTATATAACAATGGACTTTTGACCATTGTAATCATAAATTTCACAAATTAACATCCCAAAGTTTAATATTTGATTGGGAAAATCATTGAGAGCCAAGTAAGGTTGTTAACAAAAATTTGAAACTCTTTGAACCTAGTGAAGACAATTGTATTTTGTTGGTTATAATAGATCAGTTGATTGTATCGTACGACTATAAATTTTCTGTTTTTTTTATTGGCTAAAAGCATATGGAATCTTCTTTTGTAAAACATTATATTAACCGGGTAAAATCATGAGAGGTTAATATAACATTGGAAACAGCTAACATATACATAAATATAGTTATTACTAGACAATGTCAATGACATAGCTATAGGCTTTAGACGTCATGCAAATTTTCATTTCATTTTTCTTCTTTTTTTTTTAGTAAATATTCCTGATTTTTTCAACTTCTAAATTTAAAGCAGATGATATACATTGTACATGTACATTAGTAAAAAAAAAAAGCAGCAGTTAAATATCTTGAGCAAATGCTAGAAAATTGGAGAAGGATAAAAAAGTCATATACATGATATAATAAACAATTGTTGACTTTGACATCAATTGATATATAACCGACAAGAGATATGATATTCACACTCGGCTGTTGGCCTCGATGAATATGATATTTTTGGTTGAAAAATCATTGCATCAACCTCATCAAAAGTCAATAATTGTATGATACTGCATGGTCAATATACAATGATATAAGTTATAACACACTTAATGAATATGGGTTTTGAACAGAATTGAAAATGCAAATATTATAAGTATAAAAAAAACAAACTTTAATCAACCTAAATGCTAAATTATCGACAAATGTGAATACAAATTTTTGTATTTTCATAAAAAGTAGGTGTTTAACATAATGATATTAAAAGCTATCATTAGTAGTTCAAAGACAACACACAGACAATTCAATGAGTCTTTACACTTAGCACCCACCAGGCTTGTAAAATAACTATCTTGCATGTAAGAATTTCTGCTACAGAACAATATAATATTTACAAAAATTTTGAAAAAAAAAAATTTAAATGATTTTCAATGTTGGGCCTGTGACTGTGTAATCAATAGGAAAGAGCACCACAGCTGTAAAAGAAAAACGCTAAGACTGTCAGTTTTCAACTTCATGTATGTAGGCTAGCATACTAAAAAGAATGTTTTTGGCATTGCAGGAGTTAAAACATGCCCATCATTTAAGATCCTCACAACAGAAACATTTGATGTCACTTACCAAAATTAGTTATATTCCAAATGTAATTTCTCATTAGGTCCACCTCAGTGAAATTAAGCTCAAGTCAGCCATGGCATGAAAGTTTTTGTAAAAATAATTTACTTATAAAACTGCAGACATAACATGCTTTGTTTTCACATTGATATGATATTTAATCTTCCTGTTTCCGTTTCAGTTAAAACGATTGTTTTTTTTAACTGTTTACTTTCATTTTGTTAAACTGTTTAAAAGGAAAGATAATCCTCAACACATTTTTGAATGGCAATGTAATTTTATCCTCTTCAATTTATAAATTACTACAATTTTATTATTGGTCAATCATAAGCATGACTTTGAGTGGAATCATTCAATGCCAACAGCTTTTCATCAACATCTCATTTGATCAATCAATGATTGCACTGCTGGTGCCTGTAGGATTAGGATAAAAAAAAATACAATAAATAATAGTTATCACTTTCCTACCTTTAAAACAAAGTGTTGATGTAACATGCATTAAAATAAAATCCATAGAAACTATATATTACATATGATGAGCTACACAATGCTGAACGAATCGTGTTGTGAAAAATATGAAAATCGTTAGCAGACGAGAAAACCTGTAAATTTTATGAAATGCATAATCCGTGTTATTTCTAAATCGCCATAGTATTAATATTTTTTTAAGTTGAGACGGATTTGTATAATTTTACAAAGCATATACCCCGTTCTATCCACTGACCGGCTGCCATTCAGCATCATTACATATCGCTACAAGGGATCATTACTTCATGGTCGTCAGTTACGCTATATATGGCATTGTGGGTACGACAGTGCGAGTGCAGTGAACTAAGGGGAGATAATTCTATTGTTACGAGGGAACGTCTCAAAAGTATTTTATAATTTATTATACCGGTAATTATTTCGGTTCTCAATCTGCAATGCAGTTAAAATTACTGATGGTGTGGTATTTAATGGCTTTGGTGTGGGTGATTCGATCGAAAAATGACTTCTTATATCAATTTTAAATTCCTTGGAATGAATGAGATGCTAAATGAAATGTCCATATGTATTAATATTATTTTAAGTATATATCTAGAGTATATATCCAAATATATAAATATGTCTAGGAAAGCTGTAATCATGAAAAACTTAATAGAAAATATCAGAAAAACTGTATTTGATTTTTACTTGGAAAAATATATGATATCATTTACTAATCCCTGGTTAATTATAAGGACCGTGCTTTGTTTGCCATGCAGTGAAGTTTGGGATAACGTGAGATTGCAGCTAGGTAATACCAGAGACTATGGCTCTGTTAATATTAATAAGCGGGAGCAACTACAACTTCAAGCTGCTCGAATAGAAACGTGTTTTACCCTTTTTACAAGCTCAATGGTAATTTACAAGGACCTTGCGTTGGCCCGGAAACTTTGGCTAAAACTTTGAAAAGAGAGAAAGAGAAGGCATATTCAAATGTTTTATAATATTAAGCAAAATAATTTACTATAGAATATTTGTGTACTGAAATGTTATCAACATGAGAAGCAAAATAATTTACTATAGAATATTTGTGTACTGAAATGTTATCAACATGAGAAGCAAAATAATTTACTATAGAATATTTGTGTACTGAAATGTTATCAACATGACAAAAAGCTCCTTTATTGTTTAGATAGTAAAACATGACCACACACACATCGTCATTTAACTTGAGTTAAACTTTTTTTTATTTCTATTTTTGTGGCGCCAACATGATCAAATTTGATTCCTGCGACCTTGAGGGGAAAAAGACCCGTACTTGAACGATAAACAGATTACCGGGTTTTCTACGTATACGATATCTACAAGAAAACCCGATAATCTGCGTACCTATCTTTTTCTCCTCACTTAAAGAGTTTTACGTTCGACGAAAGACATCTTGATAACGTCCCCTCGTACATTATGACGTAACTGATAACGTTCCCGGCCTCACACATTATGACGTCGCTGGTAATGTCTGTTCACGTCTCAAAGCCGTGATACGATAATCGATAATTACGGAGTGACTGAGAAGGACGATAAACATCAGCTTAAGCCTTATATAAAAATAATCTGCCATTATGTCAAATTGTCGCTAACACAATATAATACAAGTGTAATACTGGTCTCTGTCGCTACTGTAATGATTAAAAAAATAGTTAACGATATCTATACCTTTCTTCGCACAATCACGTGCACAATAAGCTCTATATAGATGTGCATAATGTCAAGCACTTTAAGAGGTCAGGGTCAATCATTACACGACATGCAACTATAGGAAGATCTAGGAATATTTTTCAATTTCAAAGTCCCGCAAAATTTACCTGCAAGGATCTGTAAGTGACTTAGGCCCAGGGAAAACAAAGCTTAAATCATCAAATTCAACACTAATCTGTGATGGACCGAAAACAATACGCGGTTATTGATCCGCTTAATCAGTTGACAAGTACCAAGTGTGACAGTATGCCATGCTAGTTAATTAATTAATTAATACTAATCGATGTCAAAGCTGTCAAATCAAAGCTGTCAGATTTTGACTTTTTTAATCTTTTAATTGATCGGTCTTGCTAATTATTTTTCGCTTACAGTTTCTTTATATAATCTTTGGTTTTTGCGCAAAACGCAAAAAATAGTAAAAAATCTTAAATTAAGGGATTTAACTCATATAAAGAGACAACCGACAATTTCATTTATTTGATCTTTTTGCAGAAATTGTCTCGCTGATCATTTTTGCTTCTTAACATTTCTAGCTATCTGTTATAGTTTCCAAAATAATTGACAATAATGCAAAAAAAAAGTAAAAACTGTCATATAAGAGCAATTAAAAAATGTATTAAAAATATACTGATGATTTCGACCATGTTTACCTATTTGTAGATTTTGTCTTGCTGATCATTCTTACAAGTAAAGTTTATTTCTATCTAAAAAAGATTTCAAGCTAAAAGCACAAACAAATCATGTGGTAAAAATCGTCAATTGACAATTTCCACCATATACTTATTTGTAGACTTTGACTTGCTGATCATTTTATCTATTTAAGGTTTCTTTCTTTCTATAATAGTTTTCAAGATAAAAGTCTTTATGCAAAAAGAAAACCCGTCATTTAAGGGTTATAACTCCTACAAGAAGTCGTGTGACGGTTCCCGCCATTAATCTTAATGTAGATTTTGACTTGCTGATCATTTTTGCTATTTGAGGTTTCTTTCTATCTATTATAGTTTTCAAAATAATAGACAAAATTGCAAACAATGGTAAAAATCGTCATTTAAGAGCAATAACTTCTATAAGGAGTTGCCTGATGATTTCGACCATGCTGGCTAATATGTTGATCATTTTTGCAATGAAAAGTTTCTCTCTATAACTATTATAGTTTTCAAGATAAAAGGCAAAGATGGAAAACAATTGGTAAAATGTGTCATTTAAGGACAGTAATTCCTATCAGAAGTGGTCTTAATTTTTTGATGTATAAAGACAGGTATAAATCTCAACATATCCAAAAAAAATTGCCGACAGCAAATTTTCTTTATTTATATATAGCGGTTTTCAAGATAAGATACAAGAAATGCATTTTACCTCTATGTTCTAATTTCTGTCATGTCAGCCATTTTGATAGGCAGTTTGAATCATATTTTAATTTTTTTCTTAACTATATACCCAGATGATGATAGTGACTAAGTTTGTTTCCAAAATGGTCCAATAGTTAAGATTAAAAGAGTAAGATTTGTGTAAAAGTTAACAGACGACGGACGCCAAGTGATGAAAATAGCTCATTTGATCCTTCGCCGGGATTAGTTGAGTTAAAGTTATGACACAACGTACTTATTTTTCTCCCTAGGTAATAAATTAACAGTATAAATCACTATTAAGTTTGAAATGCATCTGCTCTCATAAGTCAATTTGCTTAATTTTTCGAATTAGTTAAGGAATGGCAAGCCGTTTTACTATTTAGTTGAACTTCAAGATATCTCATATAATATATAATATATCTTATATAATCTAGTTTTTATAAGATATCTTATAAATATTTTTTATATAAGATATCTTATAAATATTTTTTATATAAGATATCTTATATATATTTTTTATATAAGAAATCTTATATACTTCATAAGATACCTCATGTGTTTTATAAGATATATTATATAGTTTATAAGATATCTCATTTAGTTTATAAGATATCTTATGAAGAAAATTATATGAGATATCTTATAAAGAAAATTATATGAGATATCTTATAAAGAAAATTATATGAGATATCTTATAAAGAACATTATATGAGATATCTTATAAAGAAAATTATATGAGATATCTTATAAACTATATAAGATATCTAATAAACTTTATAAAATATCTTATAAACTATATGAGATATCTTATAAAGTTTATTATATATCTTATGAAGTTAGAATAAATAGTAAAACGGCTTGCCATATAAAGGCATATTTCCATTGCTGAAAAATTATACCATATGATAAACTAATAAAGTTTTCTACTTTTTAAAGTAAACACATCAGTAGGCCTTTACCAGCAATTTTTCTTCGCAATTTTATACTCATAAACTCTTTATAAACCGGCATCTGATCATACTTTCTGATGAAGCTTTTGAAAATGATCTCTATTAAAAATCTAGAAGGAAATAGTTGCGTTTGACGCAGTAGGATCTTCCTCAGAAATTTCCGTCTACATTTAGTTTATTACTGGTCAGAAAAGCTCACAGTCTGGAATTTGGAAAGCAAAGTAAACATGGAAGCAGTAGGAATAGACAAAATCTGTCATAAATTCGCTCGATATATCAACGTCATTAAACGTATACTTTTGATTGACTATATACAAGGATGTCACGGGTTTACAGAAAAATTGACCAAAAACAATTAATTGAGAATAATAGGGCACTTGAACATAAGAATGCATGGGGACTTATGGGCAAAAAAATATGAATAGAGAAAAGAAATAAAGACCTCATCCATTCGTTCATATCCTTCATTTTTCTCAGAAATGCAATAAATTGACGTTATAGTCCATTTCTTTACAGTGATAAGTATATATAAATAAAAGGAGAAGCGGGTTATACGCCAATGATACAGAAACTCAACGACGCAAATAACAGAGGGTAACAGACAGGTGATTATTTAAAACATCCCACGCTCTTAATGGGGTAAATTCAGTAAATAAATATACGGCATTAGGGACCGACCATTTGGGGGAGAGCTTTCTGTATAACACTGAACT